TAATCTCCCGTCTGCTTTACTATGTTTTTCCATACTTACGCAACCACAGGTAACGTCATCGTCGCCATTTCTTCCCACCCATATGCAGAAAAATATGTCTTGAGAAATGAATCAAGTGGTTTTCCTTGCACAGTCCTTGACCTTGACCCTTCTCTCTTCCCACTCCCACTCAGTGCCTACAATGCTCCCAGCTTCCGGGCTGGCGCTCAGCTGCTGAGCTCCCTGAGTGGCTATGCCTACACCAAACGAGCCTGGCGGAAGGAGGTCCTGGAACTGTTCCTCGACCCTGCTTTCTTTCAGATGGATACTTCTTGTGTTCAGTAAGAGATGCTGTCCTGATAACAATGCGCTCTGGATCCTCAGGCAGAAACAGTGTTTTGGTTTACATAATTCTCATTCCTGAAATAGAAGCAGAGCCATAGCGTCACCCCGGATAACAGGACGTCCCTGTCACAGGCTCACATGTTGACCATGTGTTCACGGGAAAGGGATTACGTCTTTTAAAGTACAAAGAAGAATTTCACTTAATTCAGAGAGCATGTTATTTCTTGGCTGGGCACGGTGGCTCACACCTACAATCCCAGCATTTGGGAGGTGGGTGGATCACCTGAGCCCAGGAGTTCGAGACCAGCCTGGCCAACATGGCAAAACCCTGTCTCTACTAAAAAATTCAAAAATTAGCCAGGCATGACAGCGCACGCCTGTAGTCCCAGCTACTCGGGAGGCTGAGGTATGAGAATTGCTTGAACCTGGGAGGTGAAGTTTGCAGTGAGTCAAGATCCCACCACCACACTCCAGCCTGGGCAACAAGAGTAAAACTCCGTCTCAAATAAATAAACAGCATAACCTGGGGTTCCAGTGATACTTGTTCTGTCTAATACTGCTTTGTCTTGTAATCACAAAGTAATTGGCCAGTGTTAAGATGATAGAGCCCACTGGGTGACCCTGGGGGTGTCTTTACCCCACTTCTCGGCTGAATACTCCACAAGTTCAGCCAGTAGCCAGGCAGAGATCCACTGAGACTCAGATGCAAGATGTGCTCCTGGGCCTTTTCCTGAGATCAAGAAAATCACTCAGGACTGGGCGTGGTGGCTCATACCTGTAATCCAACATTTGGGGAGGCGTAGGCAGGAGGATTGCTTGAGCCCAGGAGTTGGAGACCAGCCTGGGCAACAAAGTGAAACCCCATCTCTACAAAAAAAAAAAAAATCAAAAAAAAATTAGCCAGGCATGCTGGCATATGCCTGTGGTCCCAGCTACATGGAAGCCTGAGGCAGGAGGATCACTTGAGCCCAGGAGGTTGAGGCTGCAGTAGGCTGTGATTGTGCCACTGCACTCCAGCCTGGGCGACAGCGCAAGACCCTGGGCCCTGTCTGAAAATAACCAGAAAGAAAGCTACTCCTTTATTAATGACAGGAAGGCTCAGCGATAGAGGGTAGAGATTGGGAACCTTTTTGTATGGCATGAAAGCATGGCCACCCCCAGAGGGCTGCTGGTGGCCCTGTGGCCTCCCTCCATGTGATCTTGTTACTCTGCTGGGGTATCCCATTTGGAAAGAAGAGCTAAGGGTGGTATTTGTCTTCACTGCCCCACTCTTTTCATCAATACAACTGGGTGAATATCATCCTGTATGAACATATTTAAGAATAACCCTTGAAAAAGCCAGAGTGCCTTGTCAATTTGTTTCTTTGTGGTAAACTGGAAAAAGTCATTATTCATTCCCTATGTTAGGGTTATAAATGAAAAGCTTTAGTGTAGCTTTCTTTTATATGTAAACTATTTATTTCTATCACTAACTTCTTTTCAGAAAGCAGTTTGTTTGTTTGTTTTTGGGATGGAGTTTCGCTCTTGTTGCCCAGGCTAGAGTGCAGTGGCACAATCTCGGCTCACCGCAACCTCCACCTCCCAGGCTCAAGCGATTCTCCTGCCTCAGCCTCCCGAATAGCTGGGATTACAGGCATGCGCCACCACGCCCTGCTACTTTTGTATTTTTAGTAGCAATGGGGTTTCTCCATGTTGCTCAGGCTGGTCTCGAACTCCCAACCTCAGGTGATCCACCCACCTCGGCCTCCCAAAGTGCTGGGATTATAGGCGTGAACCACTGCACCTGGCACAGAAAGCAGTTTTTAATATATCTTAAGAGGGTATGTTGTTTTTTTAATGTTTTGAATCAAACTATCATCCACTGCAAATTTAATTGATTTTGCTTTCTTTAATATCCAGTTGGAAGTCCATTATTGACCATCTTTTGACCCATGAGAAAACAATGTTTAAGGATTTAATGAGTAAGTTCTGTGTTACTTTTGCATAACTCACACTTGATAGGATCAATACCAATAGAACCAGCGTTTATCATGTCTTTCCGAACCCTACTCATACTTTTATGGTGCTGTCTAAGCCACAAAGACTGTAATGTGATGTTCATAATATGGCAGAACTAAATAAATGAGTCTTTTCCAGTTGCAATTTATTGACAAGAATGCCGTGACAACCTTTTTCATAGTTTTTAGTGGAGAAATACTGCTGAAAGCATCTAGCTTCACATCTCGACATTTGTGCTGAAAGTAATTTCCATAATTTACTAGGAGGACTTTTCTACACCTCAGATCCCTTCTCATGCACTATCATTAAGTATCATTAAAGAAATAAGTATTGGCTGGGCACAGTGGCTCATGCCTGTAATCCCAGCACTTTGAGTGGCTGAGGTGGGCAGATCATTTGAGCCCAGGGGTTCAAGATCAGCCTGGACAACATAGTGAAACCCCATCTCTACAAAAAACCGGGCATGGTGGCACACACCTGTAGTCCCAGCTACTTGGGAGACTGAGGCAGGAGGATCACTTCAACCCAGGAGGTCAAGGCTGCAATGAGCTGATCCCACCACTGCCCTCCAGCCTGGGCAATGAGATCCTGTCTCAGAAATAAAAAGAGAAATAAGTATTTTTTTAAATATACATGGGAACAATAATCTCATGTCCTTACTTAATAAAGATCATTATTTTTCACCAGGGAATACAGAATTACGCTAGTATGAATTTCCCATCACTTACCTCCAATTGTGGTTTTCTTACTAAGTAAAACATATTTGCTGTATTTATTCTAGACATGCAGAGCAGTTCTTTGAAACTATTCTCAAGTTTTGAACAGAAAGCCATGCTGTTAAAACGCCAGGCTTTTGCTGTCTTCAGTGGAGAACTTGATCAATACCACCTTTACCTTCCACTGATACAAGGTAAGACAGCTGTCTTAGTCTGTTTTATGCTGCTGTAACAGTATACCTGAGACTGGGGAATTTATAAAAACAGAAATTTATTGCCTCACAGTTCTGGAGGCTGAGAAGTCCTATATCCAGGGCTGGCATCTGGCAAGGGCCTTCTTGCTGCGACATCCCATGGCAGAAGGTGGAAAGGCAAAAGAGCAAGACGGGGCTGACCTGCCCTTTTGTTACAGTACCAATCCCATCCATGATGTGGCCTAATCACCTCTTAAAGGCCGCACTTCCCAGTAATACTACATTTACAATAAAATTTCAGCATGCATTTTGGACAGGACAAACATTCAAACCACAGCAACAGCTGACCTGCCCTCACCCTGCCACATACAGATAGCCATGAGGGGCTGAGACGATTAAGTACTAGAGGGGTCTACTGCGTGCTTTGGCATGATTACCACGTGTTAAAACAAGTATTCTGCAGAGTTATAGAACTTCAGAAGTATATTGGTAAATCTGAAACTTTATTTTAAAATCAATTATAGGCCAGGTACAGTGGTTCATGCCTGTAATCCCAGCACTTTGGGAGGCTCAGGTGGGTGGATGACTTGAGGTCAGGAGTTCGAGACCAGCCTGACCAACATGGTGAAACCCCGTCTCTACTAAAAATACAAAATGAGCCAGGCGTGGTGGCACACACCTGTAATTGCAGCTACCTGGGAGGCTGAGGCAGGAGAATCACTTGAACCCAGGAGACCAAGGTTGCAATGAGCCAAGATTGTGCCACTGCACTCCAGCCTGGGCAACAAGAGCAAAACTCTGTCTCTAAATAAATACTTAATAAAATCAATTACAGTGTTATTAATTTTTATTAGTTTTTAAAAGCCTGACTACAGTATAGGAATAATACTTCCTCAGCACTATCTCTTGCTAGGGTCCTCCTGCAGTCAAGATACTTGGTGTTTATAGTACTGCCTTAATCGCACCTTCAGTTGAGGCCAGGGAAGGGGCAAGATTTTGGAGAAGGATCTAATTTTTCCTTAACAATTTTTTTTCTTCATCCCCACTATATTCTTTGACCGCATCAAAAATAATTTATTGCTGGCTGGGCACAGTGGCTCATACCTGCCTGTAATCCCAGCACTTTCAGAGGCCAAGGCGGGTGGATCACTTGAGGTCAGGAATTTGACATCAGCCTGCCCAGTGTGGTGAAACCCCGTCTCTACTAAAAATACAAAAATTAGCCTGGTGTGGTGACTCATGCCTGTAATCCCAGCTACTGGGGATGCTGAAGCAGGAGAATCACTTGAACCCGGTAGGCAGAGGTTGCGCTGAGCCGAGATCGTGCCACTGCACTCCAGCCTGGGCGACAGAGAGAGAATCCATCACACAAAAATAATAATAATAATAAATTGTTATTATTATTGCCGACATCATCGTATTATACATGATTGTCAGGGTTTTCTTTTTTGTTTTTGTTTTTTTTCCTTCTCATAAAATGTTCAGGTGGCAAAGTTGACATTCTGTTTTGTTTTTGTTTTCGTTTTGAGCCAGGGTCTCCCTCTGTCACCCAGGCTGAAGAGCAGTGGCACAATCTCGCCTTATTGCAACCTCCGCCTCCCAGGTTCAAGTGATTCTCCTGCCTCAACCTCCCAGGTAGTTGGGATCACAGACACCCACCACCATGCCCGGCTAATTTTTGTGGGTTTTTTTTAGTAGAGACGGGGTTTTACCATGTTGGCCAGGCTGGTCTCAAACTCCTGATCTCAGGTGATCCGCCCGCCTTGGCCTCCCAAAGTGCTGGGATTACAGGCATGAGCCACCGCGCCCAGCCCTGTTCCTTCTTTCTACCCCATCTCACACTCCTCTCAAATTTGGGAGGAGGCCCAGATAGCTAAGGAGACAGCATTAGGTGTATAGAAGCTAGAACCAAAAAAATAAAAAGATAGACAACAGTCATGCTCAAACATAGACAACAGTCATGCTCAAACAGGGGTGTGGAGAATTTGACCATGGTAGAGTTTAAACACCCAGCAATTCTGAGAAATTATTTCTCTGAGAGGGAGCAAGCAAGGGCAATATAATAGAATATACATATATATCACACCATGTATATATAACATGCATATATAACATGTTTTACATGATATATTAATGTTATATAATTATATGACATTATAACATGTAATTATTATATTTGTATTATATTGACATGATTGTAATAACTAATAACTAATTCCATAAATAGTAATATTAAATATTATACTATATAACGTATAATATACTTGCTTATATTGTATATTCATATATATAATAAAGTCAGCAGAATGCTGACTTAAAACAGAGGTAGGTTTTGAGCTCTTGGGAAAGAGAAATTTTTTTTTTTTTTGGGGGTGGGGGAACAGAGTCTGACTCCGTTGCCCAGGCTGGAGTGCAGTGGCACAATCTTGTCTCACTGCAACTTCTGCTTCCTAGGTTCTAGTGATTCTCCTGCCTCAGCCTCCCAGTAGCTGGGATGACAGGCACCCGCCGCCATGCCCAGCTTATTTTTGTATTTTTAGTAGAGACGGGGTTTCACCATGATGGCCAGGCTGGTCTCGAACTCCTGACCTCAAGTGATCCACCTGCCTCGGCCTCCCAAAGTGCTGGGATTACAGGCGTGAGCCGCTGTGCCTGGCCGGGAAAGAAGAATTTCTAAATAAATACGCTTCATTTTGGATAGCTCAAGTGCTGTATTTCTAGAAATACTACATGTTTTTTAAAAAATAAGCCTTTTGCCCCATTTTCATTTTTGATGAACTGACAGTTTACAGAGCACTTTCCTACATGTTGTTGTCCCCAGGACGTCCGTTGGTAGGCCCAGCCCCTCTGAGTCCTGGGTTGATGGCACTCAGAGTGTCCTCTGGCAGAGGTGGAGGACACTGAACTTGCCTGGAGATGCCCTGTGGAGGGATGATGCCCACATCTGCCTCAGAGAGGTAGATGCATCCAGAAGCTCCCAAGATGTGTCCCATAGTAAATAGTCTGGGCCCAATTAAAAGAGGCAGGAGGCTGGGCACAGTGGCCTGTAATCCCAGCACCTTGGGAGGCCGAAGTGGGCAGATCACTTGAGGTCAGGAGTTCAAGACCAGCCTGGCCAACATGGTGAAACCCCACCTCTACTAAAAATACAAGAAATTAGCCAAGCATGATGGCAGGTGCCTGTAATCCCAGCTACTGGGGAGGCTGAGGTAGGAGAATTGCTTGTACCCTGGAGGTGGAGGTTGCAATGAACCGAGATCACGCCACTGCACTCCAGCCTGGGTGACAGAGTGAGGGAGACTCCATTTCAAAAAAAAAAAAAAGAAGAAGCAGCAGGAGTGGAGAATTTCTAACGCTTCTCTCCTGGAATACCGTTTGGGGTCCTTTTCCCTGGACACTGTTGCACCATCAAGTAGCAGAGGAGGAGACGGTGCATGGGTGGGAGCTGAGCAGCTCTGTACATCTCGGCTCAGAGTGACAGCAGTCTCATGTCTTCGGCGGCTGGGAAGGTGTAGGTGAAAGGGTACGAAGGTGCAATTATGTAGGATCAGTACGTCTAGAGAAGGCATGTACAACATGAGGACTGTCATTAATAACACTGCATATGTACTGGGAATTTGCCAAGACCTTGAGTAGATTTTAGGTGCTCTTACTACAAAAAAGAAAGGTCAAAGCCAGGCACGGTGGCTCACGCCTGTAATCCCAGCACTTTGGGAAGCCAAGGAGGGCAGATCATCTGAGGTCAGGAGTTCGAGACCAGTGTGGCCAACATGGTGAAACCCCATCTCTACTGAAAATACCAAAAATTAGCTGGGTATAGTGGCAGGTGCCTATAATCCCAGCTACTCGGGAGGCTGAGGCATGAGAATCGTTTGAACCCAGGAGGCAGAGGCTGCAGTGAGCTGAGATCGCACCACTGTACTCCAGCATGAGTGACAAAGCAAGATTCCATCTCAAAAAAAAAACAAAAAAAAAAGAAAAAAGAAGGAAAAAAAAAAAACTGACCGAGCATGGCAGCTCACACCTGTAATCCCAGCACTTTGGGAGTCCAAGTCAGGTGGATTATCTGAGGTCAGGAGTTCAAGACCAGCCTGGCCAACGTGGTGAAACCCTGTCTCTACTAAAAATACAAAAAATTAGCCGGGCGTAGTGGCAGACACCTATAATCCCAACTACTCTGGATGGAGGCAGGATAATTGCTTGAACCTGGGAGGCGGAGGTTGCAGTGAGCAGAGACTGCTCCGCTGCCCTGTAGCCTGGGCAACAGAGCAAGACTGTCTCCAAAAAAAAAAAAAGAAAAGTTTATTACTAATATACTAATGTTCTAATGTACTACAACTGATCTTAGCTAGCATGCCTACCATTTAGCTGTTTGCTGTAGCAATTTGTTACATTCCTAGGAAACCTTAAGCTATGAGAGAAAAAAAAAAAAGTCTCATTCTACAAACAACCATTTCAGGGGAGAAGCAGGGAAGTGTTAGGGGCTAGAGAGTTATTTGAAACACTTTTCCCTCCATAGGGATTAAAGTTTTTGTCATGGCCATCAAGTTTAAACCTTGCTGAATAGATCTATTATATTTACTTGCTCCACTTCCCACCTACCACCCCCAAAATACGGTGTTGTCTGCCAGCCAGTCCATATGATTGTGTAAATCCATCCCTCACCATGGGCTGCTTGGTTTCTGTGTCTCCTCATTCATATTCTTAAAAGAACATTTTAAGTGGCCGTTGGTCATCCAGTGGATTTCTGGTGACAGATGTTCATGTCTTTCTACTCAGCTGTGGCAGGGGGACAGCCCATGGGAATCATTTCCTTTGAGGTTTGGCAAGAGCCATGAACTGCTGTATTTCACAAAGACGAGGGCTGGGGTAGACTAGTTGCACAAAAGCATCACCAACATTCTTTTTTTTTCGAAATGGAGTCTCACTCTGTCACCCCGGCGGGAGTGCAGTGGTGTGATCTTGGCTCACTGCAACCTCTACCTCCCAGGTTAAAGCGATTCTTCTGCCTCACCCTCTCAAGTAGCTGGGACTACAGGCACCCACCACCACGCCCAACTAATTTTTGTATTTTTAGTAGAGACGGGGTTTCACCATATTGGCCAGGCTGGTCTCGATCTCCTTACCTTGTTATCTGCCTGCCTCGGCCTCCCAAAGTGCTGGGATTACAGGCGCGAGCCACTGAGCCTGGCCTGTAACACTCATTCCTTACACTGGGTTCTTACCAGAATGTCAGAACAGTCACAATTTTATTTTTCTTTGTCTGATAAGAAACCTTAAACTGCATATTTGTGTGACATCTCTAAAATCTTCTCTCCTTAGAACGCCTGACAGACAATCTCAGAGTCGGACAGACATCCACAGTTGCTGCTCAGATGTTTCTTTTTTTCAGAGTTTTGCTGCTAAGAATATCTCCTCAGCATTTGACTTCATTGTGGCCAATAATGGTCTCTGAATTGGTGAGTACAAGTATTGTAAGTTTGAAAGCAAGGTTGGAGCTTTTTAAAATGCTTTTTCGGTAACATATAACATACTATTTCATATCTATCCCATTTTATCTAAAAGTTATTTTTAATCAGGTTGGTAGCACATGGTTAGCTCTTGGTTAAATAGAGAATATTTTACCCTATGATCATATTTGATCTCTCACCCTGTCAGTAATTCCAACTAACTTGTACCATTGGATAATATTTACTAGTTTTTTTATATACTGTAAATTTGGGCCAGGTGTGGTAGCTTATGCCTATAATCCCAGCACTTTGGGACGCCAAGGTGGATGGATCACTTGAGCCCAGGAGTTCGAGACTAACCTGGGCAACATGATGAAACTCCTTGTCTACAAAAAAATACGAAAATTAGTTAGGCATGGCGGGAAGTTACATCTGCAGAAGATTGAGGCTGTAGTGAGCCATGATTGTACCATTGTGCTCCAGACTGGGTGACAGAGTAAGACCCCATCTTATTCATTCATTCATAAATTAATCAATTTTTTAAAATAAATAAGTAAAAAAAAAAATTTGGATAGGTTTAATCTCTCTCAGATAGTAACTTGAATGCTTTTTTTGTTTTCAGATTCAGACATTCACACAGCTTGAAGAAGATCTAAAAGACGAAGATGAGTCATTGAGGTAAGCAGTACAAGATCTGTGCACAAGAGGAAAAGATGGTCACGATTAAAGGACATCACTTTAGATGTATGGTTATCTAATGTTAAATGCTGTTTTCTTGAAGTACTTGTGAAAGGACCAGCTATTCCAAACATTTCTTAAAAGGAAAGTTATTCTGAGGGACATGTCATAGGTGAATGGACTATAACAGCTCTGAATGAATTTATAACAAGCGTTTCTTTGCAAATTTACAGAAGCAACAACAAAGTAAACAGAACGAAAGGTTCAGTCCCGGATGCAAATGGACACTCAGTGGGGGAGATACCCCAGAGTGAACTCATCTTGTATTTATCAGCTTGCAAATTCTTGGACACAGCGCTTTCTTTTCCACCTGACAAGATGCCATTATTTCAAATGTAAGTCAGATAGGATCATGTGTCCTTTTTGAAGCAGGAGATTTTGTTTTTTCCTTTTAAGCACTTTCACTTGCTTTTCATGTACAGTTTATGGGAAACCACCATCTGGGTTTCTAGTGACAGCTGAGCCAGCTCGGAATACCGAGTTTCAGATTACTTGCAACATCTGTGGCTCTGCGAATTTGGCTCATAGGAGTGTTTATGAATGTGTTTCTATGGTGTGTGTGTGTGTGTGTGTGTGTGTGTGTGTGTGGTTTTTGCTACTGAATGCTTATAAAACAGGGCTTACCCACTGGTGGTCCTCACCGCCTTTGTGTAGACCTTTTTGTCTGTTTAGTTAGATAAGAATGCCTTTATTTGGAGCCTGCCATCTCCGATTCACTTTGCCCCTTAGGCTTATGTTTCCTGCAGGCTTAGCACAGCTGCTCATTTGTTTAATTTCATGACCAGCCCCAGAGGCTATTTCTCTCTCTCCTACCCCCACAAAGAGAGTAAGCATATAGAAATGTTTGTGGTTAAAGAGTGGGTTCTCTTAAATGCACATTGCTAAGTGAAAGAAGCCAGACTGAAAAGGCTACACACTGTATGATTCCAACCATGTGACATTCTGGAAAAGGCAAAACTGTGGAGACAGTAAAAAGAATCAGTGGTCACCAGGGGTTGGGGAGAGGGAGGCAGGGATGGATGGGTGAAGCACAGAGGATTTTTAGAGCAGTGAAATTATTGCATACGGAGCTATAATGCTAGATCCATGTCATTGTCCGTTTCTCCAAACCCATACAATGTACACCACCAAGAGTGAACCCTGATGTAAACTCTGGACTTGGGGGGATAATGGTGAATCAGTAGAGGTTCTTCAGTTTTAACAAATGTACCGCTGTGGTGCAGGATGTCAATAATACGGCAGGCTTGTATGTGTGTAGGGATGGGATATACAGGAACTGTACTTTCTGCTCCATTTGGCTGTGAACCTAAAGCTGTTCCACAAAAGGAAGTCTTTTAGTTTTTAAAAAGCAGGTTCGGGCCGGATGTGGTGTCTCACACCTGTAATACTAGCACTTTAGGAAGCTGAGGCAGGTGGATCACCTGAGAGGTTGGGAGTTTGAGACCAGCCTGACCAATATGGCAAAACCCTGTCTCTACTAGAAACACAAAAATTAGGCCGGGTACAGTGGCTCATGCCTGTAATCCCAGTACTTTGGGAAGCCAAGGTGGGTGGATCACTTGAGGCCAGGAGTTCAAGACCATCCTGGCCAACCTGGTGAAACCCTGTCTCTACTAAAAATACAAAAATTAGGCCGGGCACGGTGGCTTATGCCTGTAATCCCAGCACTTTGGGAGGCCAAGGCGGGTAGATCACCTGAGGTCGGGAGTTTGAGACCAGCCCGACCAATATGGAGAAACCTCGTCTCTACTAAAAATACAAAATTAGCCAGGCGTGGGGTCGTACGCCTGTAATCCCAGCTATTCGGGAGGCTGAGGCAGGAGAACTGCTTGAAACCGAAGGCAGAGGTTGTGGTGAACCAAGATCGTACAACTGCACTCCAGTTTGGGAGAAGGCGAAACTCCGTCTCAAAAAACAAACAAACAAAAAAAAGTGGAGGCTGGGCGCAGTGGCTCACGCCTGTAATCCCAGCACTTTAGGAGGCTGAGGCAGAGAATTGCCTGAACCTGGGAGGCAGAGGTTGCAGTGAGCCAAGATTGCACCACTGCACTCCAGCC